CTCTGATCAGCAACTCTATGTATTGCATGTGCCAGCTACAAGTGTAGCTTCCGTCTCTCATCATACAAAGCTATTACAGTAACATTGGTTGTATTCTATACCTTTCATCCTTGCGATTCCACAACTGGAAGCTTGTACCTGTCACTTCCCTTCACCCATTTTGCCCACCCTCCACCCTCTTCCCTTTGTAGTTTTGAGTCTGTTTGTATTTTTTTTTTTTTTAGATCTACATATAAGTGGAACCATTCATCTATTTACTTTTAATCTGTATGTATCTTCATTATTTTTTAAAAACGATTTTATTTATCTGATAGAGCAGGGGAGAAACCATGAACAAGGGGAGGGGCAAAAAGAGAGGAAGAAGCAGGCTCCCCACTAAGCAGGGTGCCTGATGAGGGGCTCTGTCCCAGGACCCTGGGATCATGACCTGAACTGAAGACAGATGCTTAACCAACTGGGCCACCCACGTGCCCCCTCCGTGCGTCTTCGAAGTAGATTTCTTGTAGGTAGTATATAATTAGGTTTTGTTTCTTGATCTACTGTGACAATCTTTATTTGAATTGGTGCATTTAGACCATTGACATTCAAAATGATTATTGATAACTTGATAATCCATCTTGATAAAGTTGGATTAATATTTATCATATCAGTTACTTCTGTATTTGTTGCTCTTGTTCTTTGTTTCTATTGTCTTCCATTCTTCTACCTTTTGTGGTGTCAATTGAACATTTTATGAGATTCAGTTTTCTCTCAGCACGTCAGTTATACTTCTCTTAGAGAAAGTTGTCCTACATTTTGCAATATACATTTACAACAAACTCACATTCATTTTCAAATACATTACCCGTGAAGTTGTATAGTGTTAACTTGATAAATCTAGATAAACCTAGTTTTTCCCTCCCATTTCTGTCATCCATTTCACTTATACACCAGCATGGGTATGTACACATGTATATGTAACCATATGTAATTGAATACATTGTTGCTGTTATTATTTTGAAGAGAGGGTTACCAGCTCAGTTTACCTTCATTTATTCCTTCTCTGATATTCTTTTTTTATGTACACTAAAGTTTCTGACCTTTATAATTTTCCCTCTCTCTAATGAAATTTTTATCATTTCTTACAAGACAAGTTGGCTGGCAACAAACAACCTCAGCATTTACTTGTCTGAGAGAGTCTTTATTTTTCTTTACTTTTGGATGATAATTTCTCAGGGTACAGAATTCTAGGTCGATGTTTTTTTTTTTTTTCCCTCAACATATTTTTAAATTTAATTTTTTTAGCTCATTAGGATGGACAACATTGTAAGATATTTAAAGTATGCAATGTGCTGATTTGATACATAATAAAAGGAGTTAACTGACACATCCATCACCTCACATATTTGCCTTTTTTTGTGTGTGAGAATATTTAAGTTCTCTTAACACACTATTGGGTAATTAAATTTGCTATCAATTATAGTCATGATACTATTAATTGGATCTTCAGACCGTATTTGTCTTACAGTTGAAAGTGTGTACCCTTTTACCAGCCCCTCCCTATTTCCCCCTGCCAGGCCCTGGTGATCACTTCTTCATTCTCTATTCTGATTTCAACTGTTTATTGATTTTATTGATTGATTGATTCTACATATAAGTGATACTATGTGGTATTTGTCTTTGGCTTATTTCACTTAGCCTTATGTCCTCCAGATTCACCTGTGTTGCTGCAAATGACAGGAGTTCCTTCTTTTTAAAAGCTGAATAGTATTCCACTTTGTGTGTGTATATTATGTTTGTGTTTCTACCTACGTATTTTTCCTTGATCCCTTGATAGACACTTGTTTCCCATGTCCCGTCTGTTGTGAGTAATGCTGCAGTGAACATACAGACATCTCTTTGAGATAATGGTTTCCTGTCCTTTGAATGTGTATCTAGACGTGGGATTCCTGGATCATACAGTAATACTAGTTTTAATTTTTTGTGGAGCCTCCATACTGTTTTCCATCATGACTTTTATATTCCCACCAGCAGTTTACAAGAAGTTCCTTTTCTCTGCCTCTTTGCCAGCATTTATCTTGGCTTTTTCATAGTGGACATCCTAATAGGTGTGAGAGGACATCATCATTGTGAATTAGATTTGCATTTCCCTGATGATTAGCGATATTGAGCATTTTTATGTACCTTTTGGCCATTTGTAGGTCTTTTGAAAAATATCTCTTCAAGTCTTTTGCCCATTTTTAAATTGGGCAGTCAGTGGTATTTGTTGTTGTTGATGGTTTCCTTTACTGTACAGAATCTTTTTAGTTTGATATAATCTCACTTATTTTTTGCTTTTGTTGCCTTTGCTTTTGATCAAATCCAAAAAATCATTGACAAGACAGGTGTCAGGGGGCTTTTTTCCCTGTGATTTCTTCTAGGAGTTTTGTGATTTCAGGTTTTACATTCAAGTCTTTAATCTGTTTTGAGTTGATTTTTGTATATGGTATAAGGTAGGGATTCTGTTTCATTCTTTTGTTTGTGGCTGGCTGGTTTTCTGAGCACCATTTTTGAAGAGACTACCCTTTCTTCACTGTATGTTCTAGGCTCCTTTGTTGTAAATTGGTCATTTATGCATGAGTTTATTCTGGGCTCTTGATTCTGTTCTTTGGTTTGTGTGTATTAGTCCAATACTGTACTGTTTTGATTACTATCGCTTTGTAATGTAGTTTGAAATCAGGACCTCTGATACCTTGTGCTTTGTTTTTTTTTGTGTTTTCAAGATTGCTTTGGCTCTTTGAAGTCTTTTGTGGTTTGATACAAACTTTAGAATTCCTTTTTTTCTGTCTATGAACAAGCCATTGGAATTTTGATAGAGATTGAATTGAATCTGTAGAATGCTTTGGATAGAATAGATATTTCAAGTTTTCTTGTAATCTGTATAGGTTATTCATTTATTTGTGCCTTCTTCAGTTTCTTCATTTTCAGTATATAGATCTTTCACCTCTTTGGTTAAGTTTGTTCCTAAATATTTTATTCTTTTTGATGCTATTGTGAATGGGAACATTTTCTTAATTTCTCTGATAGTTTTTTAATTTACAGAAACATAACTGACTTTGATACATGGATTTTTCTATGCCACAGTGTTGCTGAAATTTTTTTGTTGTTGTAACAGTTTTTGATGGAGCCTGTTTGAGAGCTTTGTTTTTTTCTTGATGTAATTATTAATTGCCATTAACTTCCCTCTTAGAATTGCTTTTGCTACATCACATTATCTTTGGTTGTTGTTTCCATTTTTATTTGTCTCAGATTTTTTCTTTTCATTTATCCTTTGACCCATTCATTTGTCAACAGCATGTATTTTAATCTCCACGTACTTAAGGATTTTCCAGTTTTGTTCTTGTAATTGATTTCTAGTTTCTTAACCATTGTGGGTGGAAAAGACATTTGATAGGATTTTAATCTTCTTAGATGAGATTGGATTCTGATATATTTTTGAAAGGAGAGACAAAGGAGTTGCTGTTGGATTGAATGTGGAGTTGGGAGAAAAGGAGTATAGTTGAGTTTTAACTCCCGTATTTTTTGGTCCACGCATCCAGAAAGTTGAAGTTTCTGTTCACCTGATGGGAAAGAATGCAGTTATGCAAGTCTGTATACAATTCAAGATGCTGGGCGCCTGGGTGGCTCAGATGGTTAAGTGTCTGCCTTCGGCTCAGGTCATGATCCCAGGGTCCTAGAATTGAGCCCAGTATTGGGATTCCTGCTCAGTGGAGAGCCTGCTTCTCCCTCTCCTCCTACCCCTCCCTCCTGTTCATTCTTTCTCTCTCCCTCTTTCTCCATCTCAAATAAATTAAAATCTTTAAAAAAATTCAAGATGCCTTATTAAACATAGAAATAAAGGTATTAGTAGGCAGTTGTCTAAGTCTAGACTGTAGAGTAGAAAACTGGGCTAGAGGTATAAAGTTGGGGGTATACTATCATATGGATACAATGTAAAGTCATAAGAGTTTAGATCTCAATGTATGGAGAAGAGATTTAAGGGCTGAGTATTGGGCAACTTTCTATTTATTTATTTATTTATCTATCTATCTATCTATCTATCTATCTATCTATCTATCTATTTATTTATGATAGTCAGAGAGAGAGAGAGAGAGAGAGGCAGAGGCAGAGGCAGAGACACAGGCAGAGGGAGAAGCAGGTTCCATGCACCGGGAGCCCGATGTGGGATTCGATCCCGGGTCTCCAGGATCGTGCCCTGGGCCAAAGGCAGGCGCCAAACCGCTGCGCCACCCAGGGATCCCATTGGGCAACTTTCATGTGTAGAGATGGATAAGATGAGGAGGAACCAACAAAGATTAAGAAGGATCAGACAATGAACCCAGAGAGTGGTGTCCTAGAATCCCAAGGAAAGAAAATGTGAGGTTCTTTAGTATAGTAGAATGACTATGCGTTTGGGAGCCTGCTAGGCCTGATTTAATTACTTAACTAGCTGTAACTTTTCTTGGTATCTCAGAGCCATAAACAGGGGTAACGCATGCACAAGTAAACATCTGGCCTAACATCTGTTGCTTAGATAATAATTTGTCAGAAACACATTAGTCAAATCCACAAAGTTACATTTGTGGTTGATAGTATCTAAGAAAGGGATACTTGGCATATTCTGACAGGCCTAATATATGAGGTTCTTCTAATACATAAAATTGATAGCTGCATATTGCATGAGAAAGCCATGTGGGATTGAGAGCCAAAATTGAGTTATCATTGTGTTAAATAATCTGGGTGGAGAAGTGAAAGTGCTAGGAAATAATCTCTGTAGGACTTAATTCACTGTCCTGTGTAGTTCATTAATTGCTATATAAGGACTTTTAAAGAAAAAATGTGGCAATGCAGTTTGTTTTGTGTGTCTTTTTTCCTGTAAAAATGCACTAATTTGTATCCATTTTCACATTTATAGAGGAAATTGTGAGGAATTACTGTGGGTACTTAGTTGAGTCTTGAAACATGAAAAAAAATTTTAATTTGTGATTATTTTCTCTATAAAGGTATAGCAAATGAATCTAAAAAATTATATGGAGCACAGTTCCACCCTGAAGTTGGCCTTACAGAAAATGGGAAAGTAATACTGAAGAATTTCCTCTACGATATAGCTGGGTGCAGTGGGACCTTCACCGTGCAGAACAGAGAACTGGAGTGCATTCAAGAGATCAAAGAGAGAGTAGGCACATCAAAGGTTTTGGTAAGGAATTTACATCTGAAAGTCTACAAATTTATGTCATTGTTAGAGCTGACTTTGTCGCCATAGCCCTTCACCGTTGACTGGCTGATGGGCCGTTGTGTGAGTTGCACTGTTTCGAGGTGCTTTTTCAGTTACTGTGTATCCTTTTGGTAAAAACTTTTTAATGGTAAAGGTTTAAGAAGATAGTTTTTATTTTATTTTCTTGCTTATCGTACTCAGCTTGATTTTTCTTTTAATTTCATCTTGTAGGTTTTACTCAGTGGTGGAGTAGACTCAACAGTCTGTACAGCTTTGCTGAATCGTGCTTTGAGCCAAGATCAAGTCATTGCTGTGCACATTGATAATGGCTTTATGAGAAAACGAGAAAGCCAGTCTGTAGAAGAGGCCCTCAAAAAGCTTGGAATTCAGGTCAAAGGTATTGATGAATCCCTTGAGTGAGCTCGTCGCCTTAACCATGTACAGGTTTCTAGGGCGCCTGGATGCTCTAGTCATTTGAGTGTCCAATTTATGATTTTTGGCTCAGGTCAGGATCTCAGGGACATAGGATCAAGCCCTGCCTCCTGTTCCACCCAGTGGGGAGTCTGCTTGAGGTTCTCTCTCCCTTTGCATGTTTTTTACTTTTACATTATAATTATCTGGTTCATGAGGGGTCCCAGGATAAATTTTAAAACTGTTTAAAACTCTTTTTTTTTTTTTTTTTTAAGATTTTATTTATTTATTCCTGAGAGACAGAGAAAAAAGAGAGAGAGAGAGGCAGAGACACACAGGCAGAGGGAGAAGCAGGCTCCATGCAGGGAGCCTGACGTGGGACTGGATCCCTGGTCTCCAGGATCAGGCCCTGGGCTGAAGGCAGGCACTAACCGCTGAGCCACCTGGGGATCCCCTGTTGATAACTCCCAATGTTATATGCATATCAGTAGAATTCCATCTACCATCCTGTCCTCTTCTACTCATTCTCTTTTTGAATTTTCTTTTCTGATCCATAATATTATTTATACATGAGAATTTCTAAGTCTTCCTACAATAAGTATGGATGTACAGATTATTTTGTAAACTGAAAGACTTATACAGAGGAGTGAAGAGTTTATGGTCACTTTTTTTTTCTAGTTTTATTGAGGAATAATTGATATACATTACTGTAAGTTTAAGGCTACAGTATGATGATTTGATTTTTACATATATTTTGAAAGAATTATCACAAATGTCTGAGTTAGCTTCCATATTCTCATACAGGGACAATAAAAAGGAAAAAAAATTATGTGAACTCTTAGGGTTTACTTTCAACTCGTCTATATGTCAACCAGCAGTATTACCTGTAATCGTCATGTTTAATGTAGGGTTTTTACTTACTTATCTTGTAACTGGAAGTTTATACTTTTTAACCACCTTCCTCCAATTCCCCTTCTCCACATCCCCCACCTCTGATAATAAGTCTGATTTCTTTTTCTATGAGTTTCATTTTTTAGGTTCTTTTTTTTTAAATTTATTTATTTATTTTTAAATTTTTTAGGTTCTAAATATAAGTGAGATCATACCATATTTGTCTTTGTCTTATTTTACTTAGCATAATGCCTTTAAGGTCCATGCATGTTGTCACAAATGGTAGGATTTCCTTGTTTTTTTTATGGATGAATAATTTTCCATAGTATGTGCGCGCACACACACACATATGTACACCACATCTTTATTCATGCATTGATGTATTTAAGTGGTTTCCATATCTTAGCTATTGCAAATGATGCTGCTATGAGTATGGGAGTGCAGATATCTTTGAGTGTTTTCATTTCTTTTTTTTTTTTTTTTTTTGTTTGTTTGTTTGTTTTCATTTCCTTTGGGTATATCTCCAGAAGTGGAATTACTGGATCACATGTTATTTTTATTTATAATTTTTTGAGGATCCTTTGTCTTAAAAAGGATTTCATTTTATTTATTTTTAGAGAGAGATTGTGAGTGGCTGGGGGCAGGCAGAGGGAGGGGGGAGAGAGAATTCTAAGCAGACTCCACGTTGAGCATGGAGCCCAACATGGGACTCTATCTCACAACACTGAGACATGACCTGAGCCGAAATCAGGAGTCCGACACCTAACTGCCTGAGCCACCCAGGTGCTCCCTGACACATTTTCCTGTAGTGGCTTTACCAATTTACAATCCTGCCAACATTGCACACGGATTCCCTTTACTCCACCAGCCTCGCCAGCTTTTATTATCTCTTATCTTGATCATGGCCATTCTAACAGGTATGAGGTGATATCTCACTGTGGTTTTAATTTGCATTTCCCTAATAAGTAGTGATATTGAGCATCTTTCTAGGTACCTGTTGTCCTTTTGTATATCTTCTTTGGAGGAATGTCTGTTCAGGTCCTCTGTCCATTTTTTTGATTGAGTAATTTGTGTTTTTCCTGTTGAATTTTATAAATTCTGTATATACTTTGGATATTAAACCTTTATCAGAAATATGGCTTACAGATATTTTTCCCCATTCTGTAGATTGTCTTTTTTTTTAATGTTTTCTTTTGCTGTCCAGAAATTATTTTACTATTAAAGATTTTGAGAGAGAGAAAGCATGAGCAAAGGAGGAGGGGCAGAGGGAGAAGCAGACTCCCCACTGAGCAGGGAGCCTGATCCAGGGCTCAGTTCCAGGACTCTGAGATCATGACCTGAGTCGAAGGCAGATGCTTAGGCTACTGAGCAACATAGGCACCCCTGCAGAAGTTCTTTAGATTGATGTAGCCTCACTTGTCCATTTTTGTTCATACTTTAGGTGTCCTCTAAAAACTCATTACCAAGACCCATGTCAAGGAACATTATTCCTATATTTTCTTCCAGGGTTCCATGGTTTCAAGTCTTATGTTTAGGTTTTTAATCTGTTTTGGGTTAACTTTTCTGAGTAGTAGAAGATATGGGTCCAGTTTATTCTTTTACATTGCATATCCAGTTATTCCACCATGATTTATTGAAGAGACTGTCTTTTCTCTATTGAGTATTCTTGGCTCCCTGTCAAATATTAGTTGACTATATATGCTTGGGTTTATTCTGGGCTCTTGATTCTCTTCCATTTGTTTGTATGTTTTCATGCCAGTACCATACCGTTTGGTGATAGTTTTACAGTATAGCTAGAAATCCAGAACTGTGATGCTTCCTGCTTTGTTGTCCTTTCCCAGGTCTTTTGTGGTTATATATACATTTTGGGAGTGTTTTTTTCTATCCCTTGGTATAGTGATTATGTTGACTCTATAAATGGCTTTTGGTAGTATTGACATTTAAACAGTATTTTTCCCGTCCATGAACATGGATATCCATCCATTTATTTATGTTGTCTTTGATTTCTTGCATCAGTCACTTGTAGCTTTCATAGTAGACATCTTACACTTTCTTGATTTTATTTCTAAGTATTATTACTTTTGGTACTGTTGTAAATGGAATTGATTTCTATATTTCTAATTATAGAAAATTTGTTATTGGTGTATAGAAACACTACTGATTTTTATATGTTAATTTTGTATCCTATAACTTTACTGAATTCATGGATCAGACCTAACAGTTTTTGGTTGAGTTTTATGGTTTTACGGTTTTCTCTCTATTAAATTATGTTATCTGCAAATACAATTTAATTTTTTCCTTTCCAATTCTGATAGCTTTTATTTCTTTTTCTTGCCTGATTGTTCTAGCTGGGACTTCAGTATTTATGTTGAATAGGAGGAATAGTGAGAGTGGGCACTCTTTGTCTTGTTCCTTGTCTTAGAGGGAAAGCTTTTACCTTTTCACCATTGAGTATGATATAACCTGCGGGCTTGTTGTGTGTGGTCTTTCTTTCTTTTTCTTTCTTTCTTTCTTTCTTTCTTTCTTTCTTTCTTTCTTTCTTTCTTTCTTTCTTTCTTTCTTTTTCTTTCTTTCTTTCAATATTTTACTTATTTATTCATGAGAGACACACACACACAGAGAGGCAGGAACACAGGGAGAGGGAGAGGCAGGTTCCCTATGGGGAGCCCCATGTGGGACTTGTTCATAGGATCCAGTATCATGCCCTGAGCCAAAGGCAGTCACTCAACCACTGATCCACCTGGGCATCCCATATATGGTCTACCTTATGTTGAGATGTGCTCCTTCTCTGCCTAATTTGTTGAGTATAATCACTTTTTTTTTTAAGTCCACTAGTAAACTACTTAGGTTTTAACTGTATTTACATTTGTAGCTTTTATACTTTTTTTTTTAAGTTCATTTATTTATTTCAGAGCATACATGAGCCGGTAAGCCAGGGGAGGGTCAGAGGAAGAGGGAGAGAAGCAGACTCCCTACTGAGTATGGAGCCCAGTGTGGGGGCTTGATTTTAGGACCCTGAGGTTCTGACCTGAGCCAAAATCAAGAGTCAGAAGCTTAACCCACTAAGCCACCCAGGTGCCCCTGTCTTTCATACTTTTTAAAAACAAAGTGTAATCAATAATATATTGAAATCAAGTCCATACCCTAATGATACAAACCATACATATTATTGAATTAGAATTGATGCCAGAAGGTTAAATATAAAATGAACGCTTGGAGTTAATCATAAAGTGAAGAGGAGTCTCTTTCTTTCTTGAAACGTCACTAAAATAACATTACAGGTGTAAAACAAGTATAATGCCACAAGAACAAGGAATAGAAGAGGTGATAGTAGTCTGATGCTCTAACAAAATGTTGGAAGGTGGAAAGAAGATAATACAGATTTTCTCTGATAAGTAAATGACCCTTGACCCTTAAGTTTCAGGATCCCTCACTGGCCTTCACTAGGATTTTGGAAAAAATCCTGTAATGGGTCCTTGTAGTGTCTTTACATAGTCATACGTTGTTAAAGATGCAAATAAGATATTTTAATAATCCCCAATTTACTGGTATTTCTCAGTGAAGTAGCCAGCTGTATTTCAGTGAAGTTTACTAGTTGTTCAGCCTTACTACCAAATAGAGATCTTATATTTAAAGTACTTTGCTCTTTAAAAATGAAAGGATAGCCAGCAATTGCTAAATATATGTTGATAAACATCAGTTTTTAAGAGACTGGTTAATTCAGTGGACGGTTCTGAGGACTTTGATTCTTGTATACGAACCACTGCTTTCAGTTCCCTTGGGGCTGTGCTTGTTTGTTCCTTTGGCTTTTGCTTGGTGCTCTGGTAGGGCACTGAATCCAGGGAAAGCAACCAGCATAGTGTATGATGTCATGGCCTTAGATTACTAAATGCCACAGGATTCTCAAAAACAAACAAACAAACAAACAAACAAACTACCAAAACGTAATGAGTACCTGTGTCTGGACTCTGTTAATCATGATTTATTAGTAGTTCTGTAATATGTAGGGAGGGTAAGGGGTGATCGAAAGATCACCAAATGGGTAGTTTGACCCATTATTTATGTTTTTTAAAAATCTTCTAGTTTTAAAACTTGCTTCTTGGGGCAGCCCTGATGGTTCAGTTGTTTGGCGTCGCCTTCAGCCCGGGGTGTGATCCTGGAGACTCGGGGTCGAGTCCCAAGTCAGGCTCCCTGAATGGTGCCTGCTTCTCCCTCTGCTTGTGTCTGTGCCTCTCTCTCTGTCTCTCATGAATAAATAAATAAAGTCTTTAAGAATAATAAAATAAAACATGCTTCTCTTTTCTTCCTCAGTGATAAATGCGGCTCATTCTTTCTACAATGGAACAACAACTCTGCCAATATCAGATGAAGATAGAACTCCACGAAAAAGAATTAGCAAAACACTAAATATGACAACAAGTCCTGAAGAGAAAAGAAAAATTATTGGGGATACTTTTGTTAAGGTATCTTCCTAATATCTACAGTGTGTACTGTTTTTGATGTGAATTTTAATATTTATTTTTCCTTGTCTTTATATCAAATAAACAAATTTGCTGACTAATTTTTATTGTTTTTTGGTTAAGAATTTTGGTGTATGTTATTATGACACTGGTAGAAACGGTTTTATGTTTTAAAAAACATGTATACTTGGTAGGCTCATATTGTAACTACTTAAGAATAGCAATTTCAGTTGATATAAGACTTTAGTTCTTTGAGTATTTCAATGGCTAGTTTTCAGGCTTTTGAATATTTGCCTATCTTATGAATCTTTTTAAAGCATATGTTCTTAAAAATTTATTTTGGGAGTTGATGTAGATTTTATCTCTTGGTCAGTATTGCAAAAGGATTCTGAGAAATCTTGCAAAAAGCATAAAAAAGACTTTGCTATCTTTTTTAAAGATTCATCTCTTAAAAGACTTTTACTCCTCTTGATTATAGATTGCCAATGAAGTAATTGGAGAAATGAACCTGAAACCAGAGGAAGTTTTCCTGGCCCAAGGTACTTTACGGCCTGATTTAATTGAAAGTGCATCCCTTGTTGCAAGTGGCAAAGCTGAACTCATCAAAACCCATCACAATGACACAGAGCTTATCAGAAAGTTGAGAGAAGAGGTAAAAGCTTATAAGAACTTTGCCATAAAATCTTTCTCCCACCCTCTCTGAATCATTTTTAAATGTAGAGTTCAGTAATGATAAATGTATTTGCATTGTTGTGAGACAGATCTCCTCAAGTTTTTCATCTTGTAAAACTGAACCTTTATACCCCTTGAACAGCAGCTGCTTTGTTCTCCTTCTTTCCAGCTCTTAGTAATCACCATTCTACTGTCTGTCTCCGTGGATTTGACTACTTTAGATACCCTGTATAAGTGAAGTCATACAGCATTTTGTCTTTTTGTGACTGGCTTATCTCATTTAGCATAAATCCTCAAGGTTCATCCGTGTTGTAACACGTGACAGGATTTTCTTCCTTTTTAAGGCTAATATTTAGTTGTATGTATATACACATTGTTTATCCACTTATCTGTCAACGGACATTTGGGTTGCTTCTACTTTTTGGCTATTGTGAATTGTGGTGCTACAAACGTGAGTTGATAGATATGTTTTGGAGACCCTGTTTTCAGTTTTTTTGGTTATATACAAGAAGTGGTATTGCCAGATCAAATGGTAGGTTTTTTTTTTTTAAGATTTTATTTTTGAGTAATCTCTACAGTCAACATGAGGCTTGAACTTACAACCCCAAGATCAAGAGTTGCGTGCTCTACTAAGTCAGCCCAGCACTCCTTGGTAGTTCTATTTTTAATTTTAATTTTAATTTTATTTTATTTTTTTATATTTTATTTATTTTATTTTATTTTATATTTTATTTTATTTTTATTTTATTTTATTTTATTTTATTTTATTTTATTTTATTTTATTTATTTTATTTTTATTTTTAAAAGGAACTTAATGTTTCCATAATAGTTACATCATATTATAATCTACCAGCAATGTTCCAATTTGTCCACACTTCACCAACAGTTATTTTCTCACTCTCTTTTTCTTTCTTTTATTATTATTATTTTTTTGTGATTCACACCCATTAAAATGGCTACTCTCTGTATAGTGTCATCTCATTGTGGTTTTGATTTGCATTTTCTTAATAACTAATGATGTTGAGCATCTTTTCATATGCTTATTGGCCATTTGTATATATTCTTAGGAAAAATGTCAGATCTTTTGCACATTCTTAATTGGTTTATCTTTTTATTACCGAATTGTAAGTGTTCTTTATACACTCTATAGGTTCTTTATCTGATAGGAGTAGGTCGTCTTTTCGCTTAATGGTATTATTTGGAGAGCTTTAATTTTGAGACTCTAGTATATTTTCTGATGCCTTGTATTCTAATGAGAGTTAGATCAGAGATGGCGGGTAGGGCGGCTCCTCTGATTTATTTATATTTGAAAGGTTTATATTTAAAATGTATTTTAAAGAGAAGTATGAAGATCAGTAAAATATTCATCTAATTTCTTATGAACACATGGAAGAAAATACTTTAAAATATGAAATTAAAAAAATTTTTTTTAAATTTAAGGTGAGAGACAGTAGGAAAGGCCTATAATTTGTTACTCTTTATTTTCCATGTCCTTTCTATTACTAATTTGTATTAATTGTCTTTTTCCCTCTGTAGGGAAAAGTAATAGAACCTCTGAAAGATTTTCATAAGGATGAAGTAAGAATTTTAGGCAGAGAACTTGGACTTCCAGAAGAGTTAGTTTCCAGGCATCCATTTCCAGGTAAAAATAAATAAATAAGTAAATAAATAGAATTGATTGCTTGATTTGTCATTAAACCTTCATGTTGAAGAAAAATCAATTCAGACAATTTTGAAATAACTTTTTATCTCAGGGAATATATAACTTTAGAAAAAGGTGTAGGTAGGGTACAAAAGTCTTCTTAGTATCTATTGTGTATACTTCATTTTCTTACATAATCATTTTCCATTGTATTTACACCACCTCAGTGAGTCTGGGCTATGATGTTGCCATCAGATAAGAATACCAAGGCATGGGGTATTTTAGTAACATTTGCCACACGGTTTTTTTACAGGTCTTAATTTACTTCTTATTTTAGGCAGAGAGCAAGCATGTGCTTGCCAGCAGGGAGAGAAGCAGAGGGAGAGAATCCTAAGCAGGCTGCCCAGTTTGGCAGCCCAGAGTGGGGTTAGGATATGACCTGAGCCGAAATCAAGAGGCAGACACTTAACAAGCTGAGTCACCTAGGTGCCCTACATTGTCACATAATTTCTTAGTGTTAGGACTGTGATTTATATGTTCTTTCTACTATACCATGATGGCTTCCATGGAAGTCCAGGTTAAAATGTGTTTCTCTGAAATCCTAATCCAATGGTTGACTTGTCTGAATGGATGAATTAACTTTTTTTTCTTTTTCTTTTTTTTTTAACTTTTTTTTCATAGTACTATATGTCAGTAATTCATGAACAAATAAAAAATATTCAGTTTAAGTAGTCATTTGCTGCAATCATGTAGAAATATAACTAACTAGAGATAGTATTTCTTTAAAGTTAAGACTGAGAGTCATAACATTGTTTTCATTATAATTTCTTGAGTTTGGGTAAGTCTTAGACCTCATTTTCTGGCTCTTTATAATAGTCATTATGTGACGAGTTGAGAGAATGGTCTAATTAAATTAAACAACATAGTAAAAGTTAACATTTCTTAAGTACTAGGATGTGCTAGGCTTTCTGCTAAGTATTTTACACATACTGTCTTATTTGATCCTCGAAAAACTACCATCTATTTATAGATGAGGAAATTTTGGGGATGGAGCCCAATTTGCCAAAAGTTAATGCAGATTAGGTTTGGAGCTGGAATTCTAGCCTTGATAATCTCTCCTCAGAGCTTGTACTCATGAATACCATGTTGGTCCTGTAAGCAGCGTGACAGAGGTATATAACTCATGTAGTAGTTAGCACTGTTTGTATCAATAAACTTCAAATCTGGGAATTTAAGATGTTCTATCTAACCATTGTGTTGGCAAAGAATCGTGTGTGAATGTAACGGAGAGAGCCCATGTCCTTGGTCATCATTTCACTAGATTCACTTGTCTTTTAAAAGCCTATTTTATATATAGGATTTTTTATTAAAGATTCTTTTGGTAAAAATATTTAGCTGCTTTTAAAAAGATTAGGCATAGGGGATCCCTGGGTGGCGCAGCGGTTTGGCGCCTGCCTTTGGCCCAGGGCGCGATCCTGGAGACACGGGATCGAGTCCCACGTCGGGCTCCCTGCATGGAGCCTGCTTCTCCCTCTGCCTGTGTCTCTGCGCCTCTCTCTCTCTCTCTCTCTCTCTCTCTCTCACTGTGTGCTTATCATAAATAAATAAAAATAAAAAAAAAAGATTAGGCATACTATTTACCTTTTAAGCTATTTATTCTACAGATGAAGAATAGAACTGGGGAGGTAATGGAACAAGGCTAAGGTTTTGTCTATAATCAGCTGTCTCATGGGATGCCCTTTCTGTTATAGTAAAGAAGCAGAATAATTATTTTTTTAATAGATCCGTGTTATTTTGTATTCATCCTTCTAAGAAGTTGGTGAAATAGAATTACCAGTTCACATTTTTGGAATTAAACAGTCTGTTGTCCTTTTTTTTTTTTTTGAACAGCAGATTCTTCTTCCTAAAATTAGATTGGTAGTTGAACCCGGGTGGTAAATAATAAGGTGGTTCATTACGTTGTTCTCTTTATATTTAAAAATTGCTTTGATAAGTTTTAAAAAATGAGCACCTATATTGTGAATTAATATTTATTGGAGAATTTTGTGACATTTCATACATGGACTATAAAAAATGGAAATCATTGATGTAGAGAGAAAGCATTTTAAAAAGTGATCTGTTAGGGGATCCCTGGGTGGCTCAGCGGTTTAGCGCCTGCCTTTGGTCCTGGAGTCCCGGGATCGAGATCCGCATCGGGCTCCCTGCATGGAGCCTGCTTCTCCCTCTCCCTGTGTCTCTGCCTGTCTCTCTCTCTCTATCATGAATAAATAAATAAAATCTTAAAAAAATAAAAGATCTGTTGGATGGGAAAACTAATGGTTACATTTGAAATTAAACACTTAAAAAAAACTTTAAAGTAGTGGGGCTCAGTTGGTTGGGTCTCTGACTCTTGGATTCAGCTTGGGTTGTAGTCTTGGGATCCTGGGATCAGCCCCCTAATTGGTCTCCGTGCTCAGCAGGGAGTTCGTTCTCTCTTCTCTCTCTCTCTCTCTCTCTCTCTCTCTCTCTCTCTCTCTCTCTCTCTCTCTCTCTCTCCCCCCCTCCCGCTCCCTCCCTCCCCCTCCCTCCCTCCCTCCCTCCCTCCCTCCCTCCCTCCCTCCCTCCCCCCTGCCCATGTACTCCCTCCCATAGATAAATAAATCCAAAAAAAAAAAAAAAAAAAGAAAACATAAAATGGTTGTATGTCAGTAAAACTGGAAAAAACTTACAGTGGCAAATGGAGTTTAATTTTTGGAAGGATTTTACATTGGAAACAGTGATATTTTTGTATTAAATATAAAATTTGTATTAAGTACCATTGTTACTGTTCTCTTTAGGTCCTGGCCTGGCAATCAGAGTAATATGTGCTGAAGAACCTTATATTTGTAAGGACTTTCCTGAAACCAACAATATTTTGAAAATAGTAGCTGATTTTTCTGCAAGTGTTAAGAAGGTAATAATTTGCATTGAATTTGTATATTAGAGGAGCTTTAAATAAACACAACTCATCAGTATAAGGAATTGAATAGATAATTGTAGTATTCTAGTATTTACAATGAATTTATTAGTTTCATTTTTTGAAAATTCAGAGTAATATAACATGTTAAATGACTATAAAGAAAATATTCTACAGAGACTTGTAAATCCAGACTTCTCTTTTCAGCCTTACAACAGATAAGATACCTGGAATCCCTAAAAAATGCTAGATATGAAAGGGTGTTTAAAAATATTTTAGAGGTGCCTGGCTGGCTCAGTTGGTAGAGCATGTGACTCTTGGTCTTGGGTTATGAGTTTGAACCTCATGTTGGATTTAAAAAAACTTAAAAATATTTTATATGTAAAAAAAAAATTATATGTAGCACAGGAAAATAAGGGAAAACTTTTTTTTTTGAAAACATTTTAACTCCAAACTGAGGATGATGAGTGTTAGTCTCCCAGTCCTTCTATAGATTTGGTGCCTAAATTCATAATCTTTGTGGTCTGAAAATCTTAAAGCTAAGAATTTAAAATGGACCTTGGTAGTGCTTCCAGGTGTCAGGGTTAACAATGTAAATTCTTTCCAGAGTGTCTTAAGGCCTTGAAATATCTCCACACATAGGGTTCCAATGAATATATATGAACTTAAGTTGCAAAATACATGTAGTAATAAGGTAACATGAATGAGAACTAGTGGAAAAAACCGACAGGACAAGACCCTCAAACACTTCAGATACTGGAATTAGTATAAAGTATGTAGAATTAAAAGAAGCAATTGATAATAAGAAAGTATATGACAAAAAAAAAAAAGAATAATGTATATGGTAAAAAAAACTACCCAGATGACTTGGGCAGCTTTGAAAAAAATTAAGTTCCAGGAATGAAAATAACAAATTAAAAACAACTAAAGAAACAAGTAATGAACTAAAAGACTGATGATAAATTATCCAGAGATCAGAACAAAGCTTTAAAGAGAAGATAATTACAAGAGAGGTTAAAATAGAATGAAAAGGTCAACTTTAACATATAACATAACATAACAGGAGGAGATAATAGACAAACCTGTTTGAATTCTTCCGCAGGATGAAAGACACCATGACTCAGATTCAGGAAATGTAACCCATCTCATTTAGGCCAATGGGAAAAAAATTGATACCTAGTAGGCATACCTAGCAAAACTGCAGACTGCCGAAGACAAAGCAACTGCAGAGGAAAGATTGATTACCCTTTGAAGGAAAGACTGTCACACTGAAAGCACAGTAAAATAAAAAGAATATTTCAAAGTGCCATGAAAAAATAATTGTGAATAGTGAACAAATGAACTGTCTCCTAAGAACTAGGGAGTGAACAAATGAACTGTCTCCTAAGAACTAGGGCAAATGAAGACATTTTTAGATAAACCATTTACTACCAGTAGTCCAGTACCTGAGGACCTAAAGACAGTAGTTCTCAACCTGAAACCAAAATGGGCTATATAATGAAAATAATCTCTAGTTTATAAAGATATTATAACAATATACAGCTAAAAAAGCATACAAGCCACAAGTAATTGGAGGTAAAGCATTCAAAAATGCTTGTACTGTTTGCTAGTAGAGAGAGATTGATTCTCTTTTGTTAAGTATCCATGTTAACACTTAAGGGGAACTGCTAAAAGAAGAAAAATACAGGGTTTAACCTCAAAACCAGTAGAAGGGAGATAAATGAGCTGGGAAAAATAATTTAGAAGAATGTAAGAGAAGAGAAGAGAAAGAAACCTAAAAACTGGGACAAATAGAAATTGCTGAATAAAATGGTAGGATGAAATCCAACCATATTATTAACACACAATTATTTAAAAGGACTCACGTCGTTAGTTATGACATCGATTGCCAAACTAGATTGAAAAGTAAAATCTAATTCTAGTCTGTTTACCTAAGGATAGAAGGAGTGAAAGGAAGAGTGGAAGGAAGAGCATACCTGGCAAATAGACCTCCCCCCCCCCAAAAAAAAAAAGTGGGTAGAGATCTATTAATTTTAGATGAAAGTGACTTTATGGTAAAAAGTTTTATTATAAGGAAAAGATTTAACTCACGTGAGGTGTGTCCCTGCTGGTAACAATTTAATCCCTGAAGTAGGGATTGAACTTCCCTTCTCATTGCCCTCGCCCTCCGGAGTGAAATTCTGATGTGTACTTTGTAGCACACACAAGTCAAAGAGGAATGTCTAATAGGATCCATTGCTGGAAGCCTGGAAGTGTAGCTATGTAAGACAGTCATGGGTACCAAAAGAATACCTTATTTCTTGAAACCTTAAGAAATTAATGTCTGTCTGGTTTTCTCAGCCGCATACACTGTTACAAAGAGTCAAAGCTTGTACCACGGAAGAGGATCAGGAGAAGCTGATGCAAATTACAAGTTTGCATTCATTGAATGCCTTCCTGCTGCCAATTAAAACTGTGGGGGTGCAGGTGAGTCGTGGGAGTTCATTGATCTGTGACATAGCTTTTTGCACTTTACTCTTTCCACTAATCTTGAAATATGAAAGTATATATACCAAACTTAGAAATGTAAAAAGGCAGTGTTTTGTAGAGTGTCTTTCTTATGTATGTATGTATGTATGTAGAATGTTTTATGGAGTGAATTAGGTTATAGGAACTAAACATTCAGGCTGAGATTTTGTAAGTTTGGGAACATCTGTCATCTCTAACCAAAAGTAAAAATTCAAACAGTGGTTTGCTCTAGGGTTGGCTTGCTTGCTTCTGCCTTGAAGGGCAGGCTTCTTGGTCTAAAAATGTACTGTGACTTTAGAAGTGGTTGTTAAGTACAAGAAGGTGGCCCCCGGATGAACGTCTTGCTCTCAGCTTGTGTGTTCCTTTCTGCGTCTTCAACGTGTTCTGTGTGTCTGAGCTGTGATCATGTACAACTAGCATTTTTATATTTATTGTTCATTCTAATTGTAAGAGCGTGTGAAGATAATACGGTTTTCACTTTTAAAATGTTATTTATAAATGAAGTTCTTTATATGCTTCTCAGGTGATTTTCTGGGGAAAAGCTTGGAGGGTAGGGAAGTTTCTTTTCTGTTAGGATTTTTAGTTAAGTGTAAACTAGAAAAGGTGTCAATAATTCAGTGTAAAATGGTATGAATGCCAGTTATTGGGCCTGTCTTATTTGTGGCAAGAAATTAACCCTGTTTTAGAGATTACTCATCTGAAACTTGGTAAATATACTCTTTTTTTTAAACACATGAAGTTGAGTCACCAGTTTAAATTCTTCCTTCTCCTGAATCCATATAGCTCTGTCTGTAAATGAGACAATAGAAATTCATTGTTACCTGTAAAATATTCTAGTTCATAGAAATGATAGTTGCAGTTATTTTGAACTTTTTCCCGTTTCCCCTTTATTTGTAAAGGCCATGTATGAAAGCTATGTATATTCTTTTAAAATCACTATTAAAGTAATAACCTTCTCTGGAATTGTAGAAATCACTTTCTTTCCGTGGTGTTTGGTTATCTCATCATATGCAGATTCATTTTGAGATTGATGCTATGTTACTTACAGGTGGGTATTGCCCTACTATAAAAATAGAAGAGCCGATAAGTTACTTAATTTGTGAAAGTTTTTCCAGTCCGAAGAAGATCTCTTACAGAGAGCTTCCAACTCTGTGTACTAACTCCTGCTAGGCAAGAAGTTGAATCGAATTAGTTCCCCACTCCCCTTCTTAAATAGGCATTCTAGATAACGTTAGATGAATAGATGTTGGAGGTGGTTCGTTAGATGAATGACTTTTTAAAAAATGAGGCTTATTCAGGTTCTACTACTTTTTTCATCAAAGTAAGTTTCTTCTGTTGTTAGATGTCTTACTTTATTCTAGTCTCTTATGCTATTGAGGGCGAGACTCTTGCAAGCCCAGAAAAAAATGAAAATTTGTGGTTAGTATAACAATGCAGTTTATTTCCTAAATACCAAAATAAGCCATATGTGTCAAAAATAAGTTGTAGATCTTTCCAGAAACATTAATAGATTCCCATTGTCATCTTTGTCCTTTTAACTTGACATCGCGAACTTCTTATCTTTGCATGCCATTACAAGTAGATTATTATTCTTATTAACCTACTGTGTGTATTCTGTGTATGGCTATACTGTAATTTAATCATACGCCTCCCTACCAATGGATATTTAAACTGTTTCAGTTTTTCATTATTATAGGCATTTCAGCAAGTAATACCTTAATTCTTTAAGCAGTTATTCATGCTTCTATAAGATCCTGTCCTGAATTAAAGAGCATCATTTTAAACTTTGATAGATACTATCAAATTAGCATTCATGTAGTCTGAATTCTCATATGCTCGGTATAGTGGCTGGTAGGTAATTAGCTAATGAATTTTAAAAATTGCTTTTTTTAGTTTAACTATTTTTTTTTTCGTTAAGCGAGTTACTTGGATTAAAAAGGGTAAAGGAGGGGCCCCTGGGTGGCACAGTTGGTTAAGCATATGACTGTTGGTTTCAGCTCAGGTCCTGATCTCAGGTTATGAGACATAGCCTTGTGCTGGGCACTGCATTCAGCACAGAATCTACTTGAGACTCTCTCCTCTCCCTCTGTTCCTCCAGCTATGTGTTCTCTCTCTCAAACAAATCTTAAAAAAAAAAAAAAGAAAAAAGGACAGAGGAAAAGAGGGTCAGTATTATGATTTATTTATTTTAAAGATTTTATTTATTCATGAGAGACCCAATCAGAGACACAGGCAGAGGGGACAAGCAGGCTCCCTGTGGGGAGCTTGATGCAGGACTCGATCCCAGGACCCCGGGGTCACGCCCTGGGCCAAAGCCACCCAGGTGCCCCTCATTTATTTTTAAATTAATTTTCTTAGTTCATTTTAAAAGAAACTGATAGTAAATTTTATGAAAATATTTTTATCTCTGACTTAAGAATACTTTATTGACCTAATAAACCTGGGCAGAACTTTTCTCATTTTAATAGTTTGTGTGTCTGTATGTGTGTGTAGTTGACACACAATGTTATGTTATTTTCAGGGATTACAACATAGTGATTCAGCTTCTCTATATTGTTATACTGTGCTTATTGCCACAAGTGCAGGTACCATCCGTCACTATATATCCCTATTATAATATCATTGACTATTTTCCCTATGTTGTGGCTTTTATTCCTGTGACTTTGAACATTTTCTAACTGGAAGCTTGTAGCTTGCGTTCCTCTTTGCCCACTTTGCCCATCCTCCCACCCCCCCTTTCCTCTGGCAATCATCGGCTTATTCCTGTATTCATAAGTCTGATAAAGCTGTCAATATTTGGCTTTTAGATTTCATATGTGAGTGAAATCATATGGTATTTGTCTTTCTCAGACTTATTTCACTTAGTATAATATCCTCTAGGTCTATCCACAAAAAGAAAATCTTCTAGGTCTATGCATGTTTTGCAAATGGCAAAAATCTCATCCTTTTTTATGACTGTTCTGTGTCTGTGTGTACACACAATTCGTGGGTATATGTGTACATACCACATCTTCCTTCTCCATCTATTGATGGAAATTAAGTTTCTTCCATATCTTGGTTATTGTAAATAATGCTGCAGTAAACCTAGAGGTACATATATCTTTTTGAATTATTTTCATTTTCTTTGGGTAAATAACTTAGTAGAATTATTGGATCATATGGCATTTTTATTTTTAATTTTTTGAGAAAATTTTCCACAGTGGCTGCAACAATTTACATTCCCACCAGCAATACACAAAGGTTCCTTTTTCTTTACATCCTTAACAACGCTTATTTCTTGTTTTTTTTTTTTTGATACTAGCTTTTCTGACAGGTGTAAGAGGGTATCTCATTGTGGTTTTGATTTGCATTTCTCTGATGATGAGTGATGTCAAACATCTTTTCATGCGTTTTTTGGCCATCTGTAGGTTGTCTTTGAAAAATCCATTTTTTAATAATTGAATTGTGTGTGTGTGTGTGTTGTGTGAATTCTTTACGTATTTTGAATATTAACCCCTTTTTGGATATATCATTTGCAAATATCTGCTGTCATTCAGTAGTTTGCCTTTTGGTTTTGTTGAGGTTGCCTTCACTGTGCAGAAACTTGTTTCAATAGTTTATTTTCGCTTTTGTTTTCCCTTGCCTCAGACATACCTAGAAGAAAGTTTACTATGACCAATACCAGAGAAGTTACTGCCTGTGCTCTCTTCTAGGATTTCTGTGGCTTCAGATTTCACATTTAGATCTTTAATCCATTTGAGTTTATTTTTGTGAATGGTGTTAGAAAGTGGTCCAGTTTTATTCTTTTAGCTGTCTGGCTTTTCTAGTACCATTTCTTGAAGACTGTCTTTTCCCCAGTGTATATTTTTGCCTTCTTGTCATAGATTAATTAATCATATAAGCATCGGTTTATTTCTGGCCTCTCTCTTCTGATTTATGTGTCTTTTTTTGTGCCAGTATCATACTGTTTTGATTACTATAGCCTTGTAGTATATACTGATATCTGGAATTGTAATACCTTAGCTTTGTTCTTCTTTCTCAAGATCGCTGTGGCTATCTGGGGTCTTTTGTGGTCCCATCCAGATTTTAGTATTTTTTCTTCTAGTTCTGTGAAAAATCCTGTTGATATTTTGAAAAGGATTGCATTGAATGTGTAGTTTCCTTTGGTTAGTATGGACATTTTAATAGTAATTCCTCCAATCTATGAGCATCGAGTATCCATTTCTTTGTGTCACCTTCAATTTCTTGCATCAGCGTTTTAGAGTTCTCAGAGTTATAGATCTTTCACTTCTTTGGTTAAGTTTATCCCTAGGTATTAAATTCTTTTTGGTACAATTTTAAGTGATATTCTTAATTTCTCTTTCTCCTATTTCATTGTAAGTGTATAGAAATGATGATTTCTGGGTACTAATTTTGTATCCTGAAACTTTACTGAATTCATTTATTACTTCTAGTAGTTTTTTTGGTGGAGTCCTTAGGATTTCCTATGTATGGGATTGTGTTGTCTTTAAATAGTGACAGCTTAACCTCTTCTTTACCAGTATTGATACCTTTTACTTTTTTTCTTCTCCGATTGCTGTGGTCATGGCTTCTAGTACTATGTTGAATAAAAGTGGCAGGAGTGGACATCCTTGTCTTGTTCTTGCTCTTAGAGGAAAAGCTCTCAGTTTTTCCACCATTGAGCATGATGTTAGCTGTGGGTTTTTCTATTGGCCTTTATTATGTTGAGGTAAAACATGGGCATATATTTGGAATAAAATCCCAGTGGACCCCTGGCATGTGTTGAACAAATTTTTAAAATTACCACGACACTTTTCTAAATGTTTTAACTGAATTTAATATGGGATTTTAATTTAGGGTTTATATCATGAGAGAAATATTTGTTATATGCTTTTATTCAAACATGTTTTTGTTTTAAAAAAACAAAAAAATTATTGTTAATGGTGTTATCATGCATGAAATATTTTCCAATCCATCTTTGGCTTATTTAAAACCATTAAAAATTGATTGTATTTTTATTTTCAGGGTGACTGTCGTTCCTACAGTTACGTGTGTGGAATCTCCAGTAAAGATGAGCCTGACTGGGAATCTCTTATTTTCCTGGCTAGACTAATACCTCGCATGTGTCACAATATTAACAGGTATGTTCTGCAGAGGACAAGGTGTAAAGTGAAATAGAAGGATCCTTTTTTTTAAGATCTTTTTTCCTTTGAGGGACCAAAGGACTCAAAAGTATAGATACACGTTATGCACATAGGTAACAGTTGAGCAGGTACTTAATAATACCTTGTGTTTTGTACCTTCATCACTGTGTAATCATCTGCTTATTAAAAACCTTTTGTTTAAATGAAAAATAGGAAGGATTTTTTTTATTAAGTATAGAATATTGAAGGCACTTTTAAAATCTGTCTTCCAGGTCAGGAACTTATGCTACCTGTTGGTTTAATGGCAGTGTGTTTTCTTCCAGGATTTCTCCCAGGAGTTCTTCTGCTGGAAGGAATATGTATGGTTATAGAATTTCCCATAGAGACTTGGTTTAATTTAATAATAATCTCACGTGAAATTAAAAGAAATAGGCATATGCCAGATATCATTAAAATAACTACATGTAGAATTTATTTTGAATTTAGTTTTTTCAGATCGAGGTTTTCTTTGCATGTTAATTTCTAATGTTGGTTATAGCAACAGCTGATTTATGATCTTGGTGTAATACTCCATTGCTTTGTCCCATAGAGATTTAAAAAAAAAATCTCAAAAAAAAATAAAAAAAAATAAAAAAATCTCATATCAGATTTCAGATTAGATGTTGTAGTTTCACCATTGTGTACTCTTTTTTGTTTTGTTTTCTTTATGAGTAATAAGCAATTAACCAAAAAGAATGACTTGAGGTTTTAGTTTACTCAAGTTTGCTGCAGAAATTAGGAACCTGCCTATTGGTGTTCACCCAGCAGGGTGTGCATAGTTCTAGAACTGCCTGCTGGTGTCTCCTTTGAAACAAGGAAGCAAAGGGAAGCCAGTTTTTTTACTGGTGAGAACATGCCCGCTAAAAGGTTTATTATTGTGATGAATCTAAGGCCTGCAAATACAGAAGCACCTTCAGTACACTGAAAAGAGCGGATTATTAATAAATAATGGTAAATTTGTAATTGCCTATTTAGAGTGGAGATAATTGCCTTGGTTAAATATGAATGATTCATAATCTTCTAGAGAATGCTTAATGTCTAAATAAACTTTTTAGGTCATACAGAAAATAACCTTTCCCTAAGTTTGACTCAACTGCTTCTGTTTTTCATTTCACAGTATTTTACAGTTTCATCTCTTTCTTTCTTTTGCCACATGGCCCTCACCCTAATTTAAACTTTTTCTCTGCCCTTTTATATGCTGGCTTCTCTGCCTGTTTTCTTTTTTGCTTGTTTGTTCCCCCCTTCTTTCACAAACATCCCTCCCCCAGTATAAAAGTTTAACAGCCACAGGAAAAAAAAAAAGATTAAAAAAAAAAAAAAAGAATCTAGCAAGCCTTTAAGATTGTTGGTGAATTTTAGATTTCTTTGCCAGGGTCTGTTTTAGGAATTGGAATTTAAACAATTAAAAACACTTTTTTCTATTTTTGCCAAATTTTTTCCTAATTTGCATTGTGAAATCTTTGTATAAAGGAGTGCGCCAGTTTTACTGTTCTGTATAATGTGAAAGCCTACACTCACTCCTGTACATTCTATGAACATTCTTAATTTGTAAGAAATAAGACAGAAGGCAAGTTCATGGCATTCTTTTTTCCTAGTTGCCTTTTCCTCAAAGAATCATTTACGAACTCCAGGGACTGTATTGCTTAGTAGAAGTGTGGCTCTTTACACAAGACAAAAACTTGGTATAGTATGTTTGGGAGGAGGCAGTGAATTAGTTGGCAGTAGTGTGATTTTGATCTGATGCTGTTTTCTTCTGCATGTTTCTATTCCAAGTACAATTAAGAAAAAAGAAAAACATTCAACTTCACTAGGGATGTTGCCAAGAGAGATTTATTTTCTTTGGTTGGGACAGATAGGGCTAGGGAGAGGGGACAGATGTGTGCTGGCTTGGGTCCCAGTAGGGAGAGCTAGGATGCATTCCTGTCTATATCCTGACTGCCCCTTATTTTCGGGGTGAATGTTATGGAACAGAGGCTCCTAACCAGTGGTAAGAGTCCTCTTGAGTTGTAATTACCTGATACTCTTAAAGTTTGGGAAATGCACTGTAGCCTTATCTTGGAGGTTTCTGGTGCATATTAGCATATATAGTTTCTGAAGTTCTAGCATAAAGCAACCTATTTATTCAACTCCATGTTTCCCCAGGTTTATGTATTGATTTCTTAGGGGCAGTATAAAAAATTCTTACAAACCAGGAGGCTGAAGACAAATTTACTTTCTCACAGTTCTAGAGGCTAGAAGTTTGAAGTCAGGGTCTTAGCAGGGCCATGCTCTCTGTTGCATAAGGCTCTGGGTCCTTCTTTGACTCTTCCTACTTTCTGGCATTGACTGGTAATCTTTCGCTTGCGGCAGTCTAGTTCCAATCAGTCTCTATTGCCATCTTCACATGGCCCTCTCTCTGTTTCCAAATTTTCCTCTTTTTAGAAGGTTACCTTCAAAGATTAACGCCTACCCTGATCCATTATGACCTTATTTTTTTTTAAAGGTTATTTATTTATTTATGAGAGACCTAGAGAGGCAGAGACACAGGCAGAGGGAGAAGCAGGCTCCCCACAGGGAGCCTGATCGTGGGACTCGATCCTGGGACCTCAGGATCACAACCTGAGCCAAAGGCAGATGCTCAACCGCTGAGCCACCCAGGTGTCCCCATTATGACCTTATTTTAATTCGATTACATATGCAAAGACCCTGTTTCTCACCCATAGATTTCAGATGGACAGGAAGTTTGGGGGATTGTTATCACAACCCATCCATTGTGATAATCCCACGTATCTTTGTACATTCTGAAATAGAATTATCCTATATTATACTTTGAGGAAGGTACATAGACCCTTATGTAATCTTCTATCCTGGGGCACCTGGGTGGGTCAGTCGGTTAAAAGTGTCTTGATTCTTGATTTCATTTCAGGTCGTGGTCTCAGGGTTGTGAGATTGAGCCCTACATCGGGCTTTTTGCTCACCGTGAAACCTGTTTAAGGATCTCTATCTTTGCCCCTCCCCCTTCGCATGTGCATGCTCTTTCTCTTAAGAAAAAAGTATATAATTTTTTTTTTTTTACTTATTTGAGAAAGAGTATGAGCGGGGGTAGGGGCAGAGGGAGAGGGACAAAGACAAGCAAACTCCCCAATGAGCATAACCTGAGCTGAAGTCAGATGCTTACCTGACTGAGCCACTCAGGCACCCCTCTATATATAATCTTATATCCTATCCTACCCATGTGGTGATTTTAAGTGGGTAAAAGAGGGGCCTCAGAATAAATGTAAAGAATGATACTCTTATGTTCCTTAATTCTCCTACTAAAATGTAATTTGTCTATAATTTTTACCTTCTCCTTTTCTAGAGTTGTCTATATATTTGGCCCACCAGTTAAAGAACCTCCTACAGATGTTACTCCCACTTTCTTGACAACAGGGGTGCTCAGTACTTTACGCCAAGCTGACTTTGAGGCCCATAACATTCTCAGGGAGTCTGGTAAGTTGATCATTTTGTTTATTAGTACATGCTCTGCCTAGAATTAATTAATTAATTAATTAGTATTTTTTTTAAATTTCATTTTATTGGAGTTCAATTTGCCAGCATATAGCATAACACCCAGTGCTCATCCCGCCAAGTGCCCCCCTCAGTGCCCATCACCCAGTCACCCCAACCCCCCGCCCACCTCCCCTTCCACCACCCCTTGTTCGTTTCCCAGAGTTAGGAGTCTCTCATGTTCAGTCACCCTCTCTGATATTTCCCACTCATTTTCTCTCCTTTCCCCTTTATTCCCTTTCACTATTTTTTTATATTCCTCAAATGTATGAGACCATATAATGTTTGTCCTTCTCCGATTGACTCCTTTCACTCAGCATAATACCCTCCAGCTCCACCAAGGTTGAATCAAATGGTGGGTATTTGTCGTTTCTAATGGCTGAGGAATATTCCACTGTATACATAGACCACATCTTCTTTATCCATCATCTTTCGATGGACACCGAGGCTCCTTCCACAGTTTGGCTATTGTGGACTTTGCTGCTAGAAACATCGGGGTGCAGGTGTCCCGGCGTTTCATTGCATCTGTATCTTTGGGGTAAATCCCCAGCAGTTCTGCCTAGTATTTAGAAGTGTGATATTATGATTTCTAGTTAGGAGGATGCAAGTTTGAATTTTTAGATGCTTTTATTTTTATTATTTATTTCTATGGATTGTTTTTCCTGCCATACGAAATTTTTCACCTTTTTGGTCATTTGTGGATATGTCCATACGGGCAAAAAAATTTGAGTTGCCTGACTCCCATTTGTTCCCAGCTGAGGTTATACAAGGTGATACTCTTTGTTCACTCTTACTATAAACAGGTGTCCTTTCTGTAGACTATTCGGACCATATTTTCTGTGCATTTCTGTGCTTTTTTTTTTTTTTTTTTTTTCTGATTTTACTGTTTGACATGTCCCCCAGGTATACTCCTGGGAGTACTGCCTGGGTTTCTAAGCACAGGAAGGCTGTCATCTGCCTTATGGAGAAAACATGTGGGTTAGATAAGGTTCATTCGTGTATGAATTTTAGTGCTGATGGCTATGAGTTCAATGTTAACGAATCCAGAATAAATAATAAGGTATATTTTATAGAAATATAAAATATAAAATATACAGAAATATACATAAAACAAAGTTATGTATTGACTGGTTGAAAAAAATGTTGTGACCAGGGGCTTGCAGGAATCTATTTCCTGTAGGGACAGTGGTTTAGTATTTGCTAATTCAGTGTTTTCAGTATAGACATACCTTGAGTAACAAGAATGAATTTTATATTTATTGCATCACTGTGACATCACTGCAATCATGAAATTCTATTACTTGTATTTGTGATTGAGTTTACTTCCAGATATGGACGTAGTTGAAACAATGCATGGATGGTAACAACCTTAACTGATACGTTTATGTATGTGATTAGATGTTGTCTGGGAGGATTTAATGGAACTGGGCTAGAGTGCTTTTTCCTTGGTGTGGTGATTGGTTCTTCCAGTTGTTTACTTCTTTTTCTAGGCTATGCTGGGAAAATTAGCCAGATGCCAGTGATTTTGACCCCATTGCATTTTGATCGGGACCCACTTCAGAAGCAGCCTTCATGCCAGAGATCTGTGGTTATTCGAACCTTTATTACTAGTGATTTCATGACTGGTATACCTGCAACACCTGGCAATGAAATCCCTGTAGAGGTAATTTATATATTTTTCTCATGTACATTTTTAATATCTCATACATTTTTATAATGCGGTGAATGGAACAGGCTAGGACAAAATTGATATTTCTGGGGTTGGTTTTCTGTTTATAAGAGAGGCTTTTATTTATTTTTTTAAAGATTTATTTGAGAGAGCCATGCATATGTGCAGGGGGAGGACCAGAAGGAAGGGGTGGGGAGAGAGGAGCAGACTTCTTGCTGAGCACGGAGCTTGAAAAGTAGGATGGGGGGCAGCTTGAGGCTGGGCTCTATCTCACGACCCTGAGATCTTGACCTGGGCTGAAATCAAGAGTCAGACGCTCAACCAACTGAGCCACCCGGGTGCCCTTAGGCTTTTATTATTTTTTAAAATATCCACATAATTGATTAAATAATGTACTGTAGTAGAAAAGACCTTACATTTATTATACTCCTCCAGATGTCTGATTACTATGTGGAGAGTAACCACCTCTAATTTATAATTCTGTGTGATCTTGTCAACCTCTACCTTTATAAATAGTATTTTCCAAGTAAAGGAGAAGCCCCTGGTAGTGAAGAACAGTTAATTAGAAATACAGATGAGATTGATACCATGCTGGCTAGACACCCATGAATTGCTTAATGCTGTGCCTACTACCAACTATTTTTGATCACCATCTCCCTCTCCCGTTTTCTCTCCCCTGGAGTGTTCCAGAGCAACCATTTGCATGATAGTAAATGGAAATCAAAGTGAGACTTTATTAGGTGGACCACTGCTCTGTACTCTACTGCAGCGTTCTGGTTATAGTTGGGGTGTGTGGCTTAGAATCTGTTTTCCCTTAAGCTCAAATATGCCAAATCTCTGTCATTCAAGTGACCAGGCCTTCTTCTCCTGGTGTACACTTGGTAGTGGTTGTTACTGCAGTGCATCATGTGCCACTGTCCTGGCCTCTGACTTGTAGGTTTCAGCCACAGATAATATGTGAAGCATTGGCTTTGTTACATAAAATGACATGCTTGGGTGTCAGAGCAGTGTCAAGTTGCTGTAAATATTTCTAAACACTTGTTACTTGACAAGTAACAAACATAATATGCAGAGTGGCAACTGTTTGCAGACTACACTTTGAGTAGTACTGAGTTAACTCAAAGCTATAGAGGGAAATTAGGTTCGCTCCATAAAATTTAGAGACCATACCATAGAAGACAATAATAAAAAGAGATCACATTTTAATTGTCAGTGTAAGCCTTCTAGGTCTGTTGGACATGTGCTGGGTGGGTCCTGGCCCTTCTATTTATGATCTTTGTTTTATAACAGGTGGTGTTAAAGATGGTCACTGAGATTAAGAAGATTCCTGGTATTTCTCGAATTATGTATGACTTAACATCAAAGCCCCCAGGAACTACCGAGTGGGAGTAATAAACTTCTTGTTCTACTAAAGTATTGTGTTCAGTTTAAATTGATTAGAAACCATTTCCAGTATTGACATGCAGTACTGTGAAAGAGTTACTGGAGCGGCCACATCACACCTGAGTTCTCTACAGCAAAAACCTACGGCTTACGAGCTGAGTTTGGGGGATAACTAAAAGGGACTGAAGAGTTTGTACGGGTATAATCAAAGCACCATTGCCTACACTCAGACAGATTGACACTGCTTTTGCCTTTGCCCCACTTGTTCTTTATGTATTAACACGCTGTTGCTATTCACGTCTCTGTCAATGAAGGTGTATGAAGGTGGGTGAGTTTGGGCGTAGCACTAAGCTTCTGTCCCTTTGCCAGTTTCTAAGGGTTGTTAGTAAACAGCCATTATTCACCAGCGTGACCTAATCTGTATGTCTTTCAGAGAATCTGAATTTCCCTGTAAGTAACCTTACTCCTCCAAAGGTGGGGTGAGGGACGAACATGTCAGATAAAGGTGTAGGCGGGCTGTTCCAGCCACTTCTGTGGGACTCCGGGGCTACCGAATGTAAGCCCCCTTACGATGGAAAACACTGGGGATTTGTTCCGAATTGTCTGATATCACAGCCAGGGGGAGAAAAGAAGCTGTGAATGGTCTCGGTTTAAGATGTTTTCAAAGCCTGTTCCACATCGATGTCCAGGTGTTCACTGTCAACCTGTCCGTTAGTAAGGAGCTTTATCAACCCCCTCCCCCCAGATGTTGCCACCTCCTGCAGCCTTGCGAAGAAGTTTCTGTTCTCTTCTCCAGAAGAGGCTGTCTCTGGTGTAGCATAAAGTCAGCGTTTTGATCTCGTTTGGTCAGAGGGCCAGCTCTGAGACCACAGTAACCATCCTAAGTACCTGCAGTTTACATCATCCGGTGAAGAGTTGTAAAATGAACTCTTAGGTGGAACCTGTAGGCGGGCTTATTACCCACTTCTCAGAAGACTGACCAGTCTTGATCCATGCGAGATATTGCCAACCTTGTAATCCTTCTACCATTTGTAGGATTCAAGAACTTGTATACGACTCCTTCCATTGCCACTGGTGTCTACCAAGATCGTTTATACCATTCATATAAACACTATGAAAATAGCACCAGACTCAAATTCTACAACCATTTCTCAATATTTTAGCTAATGTTACTTTTTAAGGACCTTCATGAAATTTTTTTTTTAATTGAGGTATAAATGAGCTCTAACAGATTAGTTTCCAGTGTCATGTTTTTCTCCCACCAAACCCATTTCAGGTTGCTGCTGCTTATTTTCAAGATCCTTTGTGTTAATCAGGTACAGAATTTTGTTTGGGATTCGGTGTTAGGAAAACAGTAAAATTATACATGGCAGAAATCTACTTTTTATTCTGGCTGGCCCAGAGGAGGAGAAAACTGTATTACCAGACCAGCAAGGGAAAAGCTTCTGTCTATTGAACAGGTATCCGCACCTGAAACAAGAGTATCTGATCTCCGTGGAATTTGACGGGTCCATTTTCTGTCCTGATGATGAGGTATTTGCACTGGACTTTGGAAAGAGGATATGTAAGTGATCCAGCTTCCAACAGATTTGGAGTCCCATTATCTTATCGCTGGAATAGATGACCTCTTCTAAAAGGCGTACAAATATTTACATTTATGTGAAAAAAAAAGCCTCTTCTAGAAGGTAGAAGTTTCTTAGGATTTTGTTTCGGATCCAATAGGAAAGTAGGAAGAATATATATAGTGAGTGTTTTCTTTCCAATGTATGTTCCATGGAACACTGCTGCCCTGAGCTGATCCTCGGCAAAGGGGCTGGATGATCTGGAGGTGGGGAAAGTGCTGTCTGTCCTAGAAAGTCATGATGTACGTTAGATTCAAAGCTCTGAGAAATTTCGATGTGAAACACTGATTGTTAGACTTGCTTAATCTAATGTTTTCCCGATCTTTGCTAACCTCTTATAATCCTTAATACTGGAAAAAGTGGTCTCTCCAGAACACATCCTGACATGATACAGTTTAAAAAAAAAAAGTTAATCTTTTTGGAATTTAGAAATCCCCTAGTATATTTGGAATCTTTTCTCCCTTCACAAAGCGCTTTTTGCTTCACGTCCTACAGTATTACCGTGTATCTGCACAGTATGTCATCCAAGTATCTGAGAAAAATTAAGTTTATCATCTATTTTTCCTTAAGGAAACAAGCGCAGCTTAGTAATGGTTACGTAGTGAAATACAGAATCAGATATGATCCTTGGTAGGTTATGACTGCATTCCCATCAAATTAAATATATTTTATTTCTTCCTACTGGTTTAGAAGTAGGTAGACAGGTCAGTGAAAGCATCATTTATTCCCCAAATTGGCAGGCACAAAAGAATTTTCAAATACCCAGTTTCACCTTAATGGTACCTCTATAATCATCAGCCATTCTAGAAATAACACAGCCTGGCATAATTTCTGAAGGTAGATCTTTATAGATGTATCTGGGAGATAGGGTCACACTGTTTTCCATCTTGTGTTGCCCCTTGGCCCTGAGGGGCATCCTCATGCTCATCCTGAGCCTGCGTGTAGCCAAACAAGCATCATAAAAGTCTGTTTCCTCACTGTTTGGGCTTATCTTCTGATAGCCTATTTTACTGTATAATTGAATCAGATCCCTCAAGAATGAGGGCATCCAAATTAGGGAGGTGGGGCTGGCCATCTTCAGTGCTTCATCCTGCCATTAAACAGCTGTACAAACCAGCTTAAATAATTTCTTTATCTGTACGATGAGGCCGTTGGGTTAAATTCACATCAAATCTAGCCATACATTTTTTCATGAATAACAATAAAAAGCGCAGTAGAATGGAGAAATTGAGGTGGGTTTTTTTGTTGTTATTTAAAAAAAATTTTTTTAACATCAGCTATGACCTTACCCCAAAGGTAACCCCATGATGTCTTTTGACCATAATGCATTATAATACATTATAAAATCAAATATTAATTATGTTTTTTTGAAGCTGTAGTAGAGATCAGCAAAATTTGACCGCTTGAGAATCTTCTCTTGTGACCAGGACACTTGGAAAATATTCATCAATATGTTCCTGGTAGCAGCCTCTTTACTGTGGGTTTTTACAAAAGTTGACAGAGAATATGCTTTGGCGTTGAGAAGAATGACAAGTTTCCGATAACCTGTTATATGTAGCTATTTGTTGGCAGAGCTGGAGCTAGGATCCAGGCTTTCTGTTCTCTGTGGAAGAGGTACCACGCTCAGGCTCTTCCCGGCAAGACTTAACAGGAAGTTCTCTGTGTAAAATTGACCATCAAGGGTCAGTGTACTTCCAAAATGTTATCAGTCATCTCCTTACTTAGAATAAGAGAGTAGTTTTCTGTCATGCCCAGTGTTAACACCCCCGTTTCTTTTTATTATTCCCTATTACTTCCTCTCCGCTACTCTCCATACCCTCCTCCTCTCTCCTGTTTCCTCAATTTCCATTGGACGTGGTAAGGATACACTTTAGCTCCTACCTCCATGGGCACCCCTTTCATCGGCCCCAATTCAGAAAGTAATAGGGAGCTGACTATAAGCTGGACGTCTCTACCTTTGAAAAGGACTCCCTTTGTTCTCACTGAGGTAGTTTAGCCACACAGATGATATAGGGAACCATGTCTGTTTGTTTGTTTGTTTAAGCCACTGTAAGGCTTTGGCAGTAGTAACGTTGGCATCCTTGGCTTCTGTATCCCTGACCATTTCATTTGATGACAAGTGAAGACATTGGGAACGCCCCCTCCCCCCAAAAGCATGCCAAAATGCCAGCTCCCAGCCTTAGTCTTACATATCGAAGAGGCCCAACTCTGACCTTTTGTCAGTGGTTCTCAACCCTGGATTCCTGTTCTTACTACCTGAGGAATTAAGTGTATAATATGTACACCCTACAATCAAGTCAATTTAATTAGAATTAGACTGTTGTCAGGGCCCGATAATTGATAATCTTCAATCTCTCTGCTCCAGAAACAAATATTACAGAGGAATATACCTGGCCTGTCTAGTTATGGCTTAAAATCTTAGTCATATCTACAAGAGAAGGCCACAGCTAATGTCTTGCCAAGATACCTTAGCTACATTACTTCAGAACTAGAGGCCAGACTGGAATTGCTGTGTATACCGTATTGTAGGTCAGGGCCTGTTTGGTAACAAATTAGGGCAGCTGACATAAATGTTACTCCTGTTGAGGTCTCTACAACTACTACATGGGTACCTCTCCGCCTCTTACTCCTCTTGCTTTTTGTCACAGAGGAGAAATCCACCTGTGGATTTCATGCTGGAGCCACCTCTCCAAATTTGACCCTAGCTACCTGTAATCTAAGTTCCCTGAAGGAGAATTTTTTGAGCAGCTGTGTTTAAAGTTACTTCCCCATTAGTGTCTTTGTTCACTGGTGATCCCATGATGTCTTTTGACCATGGTAAGGGCTCCTTGATTGGCAAAATTGTGAGGCTTTGGGGAAGAGTTTGGCTATGTCTTGGGCATACTAAGTTCAGGAGCTCCAGAATATTGAGTTGTCCAGGAAGCCTGAACCTTAAGTAATCCCACTGGGGTAATGCCTTTGGATATTTAAGGTAAGTAATTTTCTGTCTATGAACGTACTGTGACATTGTTAACAACCTTATGGTATTAAATGAAGAATGTAACCTCCTTTTTTGAACAGATCTTTTTATAAAGAAGTATTTTGTTAATTGGAGTAAGTAGTGTAGTTGTGAAGTCACTGTGTTAATTGTTCACGGTATACTGAAATATCTTGTATGTTGTGATGATGTTTGCATAAAATAGCATTGCTAAACTAATATTAAGTGACTTTAGTGCCTTTTGTTTTCGATATGCTTCATAAAGGAGGAAATGATGACTTTCATAATTTGTCATTAAGTGTCAGTGTTTATGAGAAAGTCAGTGAAGGAAGAGCAAAGAGGTCTAAATTGGAAATAAATTGTCTATATGGTCAGGGGTTTCTGGATAATACATTTAATATTTTTCATATATAACAAGGAAAGGTGTCTGGGTTTTGCCCAGAGTTTAACAGTGGATATGATAGACATAAAATATTGGGTAGCTTCTTAAATGAATAGCTAAAAGGGTGTGTGTATCTGTTTCCAAAATTAAAGTCCTGTGCACACACACGTATTTAACTTCTTGCATATTTATTTATATTTGATCAACTCTGTTCTCAGTTTCTTAAAATATATATTACCTTTATTGGTTTGATACAAAAGGTGGATCCTATTTGTTAGGAACTATGTTATGAGAGTTGATCAGACCCATCAAAGTAAATGTATTAAGTCACTAATAGGGTGATGAGAGGAAATAACCGTGTTCAGAAATTGAATTCAGTGATTACTTTCAGGTAGTTACACGGCTGTGGTATGATTTCTTACGGATCAGTGAGCTGGCCTGGCTTTCTGCTGAGACAACTGTGTTTTGATTTAACTGTAAAGGTTTTGCTGTATAATCAAAACAAAACTATCACTGAGTTTTTACCTTGAACTCTCAAATCTGTCATTCTACCTCTTTTTTTTAAAATACTATTATCTAAAGCTGTATTTCACACCATAGCTAACAGGTAACTTATTTTTAGTAGATTGTTAGTGAATTATTCTGAATTATAGACATTAGATATGAAGAAACACAGCTAAAAGTCTAACTTTAACCTTACTGTTATCCAAATAATGTGTTGAATTTTAATTAAATCCTTTTTATTTTAATTTATTTTTTAAAAAAGATTTTATTTGTTTATTCATGAGAGACCAGAGAGAGAGAGAGAGAGAGAAGAGAGGTAGAGACACAGGCAGAGGGAGAAGCAGGCTCCATGCAAGGAGCCCGACATGGGACTCGATCCCAGGACTCCAGGATCACACCCTGGGCTGAAGGTGGCGCTAAACCACTGAGCCCCCCGGGCTGCCCTTAAATCCTTTTTGTACTTTAGAATGCTATTCCATTTATAATTGTACATTACTGTTTTTTTAGACAAAGCTTACCTGCCCACATGTTTCTTTTTTTTTTTTTAATACCATAGAGAAAATGCTGTTTTAAGATTTTCCATTTAATATGGTTACGTTAAATAGTGGAGAACATGAAGGCCTTTTGTCAAGGTACCTTTACCTAATTGCATTAGGATGATTGATACTTGTTCTTAATAAGAAGAAAGTTTCAGTCGACTAAAAAATATTTAAATGCAAGAAAATTCCATCTTCTGATTCTTTTCAAAAGCAACTTCTGTTACAATGTGGGTATAATGAATTGAACTTGTTTATAGTGCTTATTATAGTTTTGGGGGAATAAGGGGAAGAATTATATATATCATGACTATTTTGTGTTAAAGAAGCTCCTTAAAAATTTTTCAAGCAACACAAAAGTGAAGTAGTACAGCTAGCACCCTCTACATATTAATATTCAGATTCAGGAATTAAAATAGTGCCTTTCCTTAATTATTGAATAAACTGTATAGCCCATAGTTGAAATTACCCTGAAGTCGATAATATGTATCCAGAGATATTTAAGTAAATGTGGTATCTTGGATTTTTTTTTTAAGATTTTATTTATTCATGAGAGACAGAGAGACAGAGAGAGAGGCAGAGACACAGGCAGAAGGAGAAGCAGGCTCCCTGTGGGGATCCCGATGTGGGACTCGATCCCGGGACCCTGGGATCATGCCCTGGGCTGAAGGCAGTCGTACAACCGCTGAGCCACCCAGGGTCCCTCTCGGAATATTTTTTTAGAACACTGTTTATATTTCTGTCCTAGCCTGTTTTCAGATTTTTGCTTAAAGAGAAATTTAAGGATTTATCATTGATTAGGAAACACTTCGGAGTATCTTTTTTTACTTTTTTCTCCCCCCCCCCCCCCTTCTCAGGTTCTTAAGGCACCAATGTGAACTTAGCCTGGAGCTTTTCAAACTTTCTCCTTTCACAGTTCCAATAGTGTTGTTTGTTTGTTTTTAATAGCAACCCTAGGCCAAAGTAATTAATATTTTTTAAGTGATAGTAATGTTCAAACAACTTAAAATATATTTATGCCCTAACAACGTAGTAGCCACTTGAAAAAAAATAGTATCCATTGAAAGAAACAGTATATTTCAGTCTTGAATAACTGGAATAAGTTACTTAATGCGATGTGTGCATCTTTTGGGGGCTGGGGCTTACTCTACTTTGGTATGCATCGAACACTGCCAACTTCATTTTCTATTCCATGCTGCTCTTTGCAGAGGACTTTTTATCACAGCAGTCACTGAAAACTCAGTTTTGCAAAGATATGACAACTTCGTTGAAAGGAATGTAGCACGATGCTATGTTGATATGTGAGTTTGCTGTGCTGACTGGCTCAGAGTCTCTGAACAGTTTGAGAACCATTGTGTCTTGAATATTTTGATTTTTTTCCCCCTTCTCAACTTCAAAGGATGCATCTAAAATATACTTGTGTCCTCAGTATTGAAAGAATTGTCTTTCTTGGTTTTGATGTTAAGTGTTGGAATATTTTGCAAAAACATCTAAAAAATCCCAACACATCTTAGGAGTGGAGAAAATAAGAATTACCATATGTTACGTAAAGTATACCTGCATGGAATATGTCTAGATGCAAGTGTGATCTGTGCTTTTACTCACTTTGGAGCTTGCTTTGTCTGGTAGCAGTTTGTTACTACAAAGGGATAAAACTCTACTATGCTTTTTAGGATGTAGAATATATACCCTTTGTACCATAGGAGTGAATAATTTACTGGATTTACACCATGCCAATATGCTGTCTACACATTTGTTACTATATTGATGTCTCTTTGTAAAACAAGGGGAAATAGTTGCATACCACACACACTTTAAAAACAAAAATCTTTTTGGTAAGTAGACAGTGATGGCCATGCCTTGAATGTTTTTAGAGTTTCAAGATGTGGTTCATGAAGACAAAGACAGGGAATTAGCATTAATCACATCAGTTTGGGAATAAATCGAATTTGAAGCTACTGAAAGAACACGACTGTCTCGTATATAGTTTCACCTTTGTGTGACCTCTTTACTCTAGATCTCAGAAAAGAGCCGTTGTAGAAATTGTAAAAATTATCTGAGAATTTGGGAATAGAAATCTTTCATGAAATCTTAAGAGTATTAATGACATAGAGTAAGATCCCTCGTTCTGTTGCTAGGTGTAATTTTGGGAATTAATTTTAGAAATATTTCTTGCTAATTCTGATAAAGCATCAGGCTGATATTCAATAAACTTGATACATTTCTGACTCCATGTAGCCGTGTTACCTTGGGCAAGGCAGCAATCTCCAGGACCATGGTTAACTCAGATGTATTGTAGGAATAATCCTACCCGGGTGGATCAAGTGGGAAAAATGTAGGAAAAGGTGAATACATTATGAAAACACGCTTTATCTGTAAAATGCTCGTGTACGCATAGTCTTATTTAAAACAGACGGCAGCCCACATGAAGCAAGCGATGTGGGCTTAGTCCCATTGTGCTCGGTTCGCTGGGACAGTTCAGGTAAGTTTAGACCATGTCAGATAATGCAGATTGTGAGGGAGGGGTAGAATGAGGTCACCTGCTTTCCACTGTGCAAGGGCCACGTATGCCGCTTGATAGGAACTAAGAGAGGGGACACAGCTGTGCCTGATTTCCAACCTGGCACTTGGAAGGTACACGAGTTGGGTGTCTCGTCTTCTCTGTTCTGATTCCAGTGGTGTGGGCAGGAACGCAGCAATTGTCCCCTGTCAGTCGCATGGTCGGGGGAAGAAGCTTGGAACAAAATAGAAGAGATACGTCAGCATGTGAGTAATTACGGAAATACGCGGTGGTGCTGTCGGTAAAGTTGGAGAGGGAGGGAGAGCGCCTCAGCTCAGGTGACATCTGGGGGTTTCACGTGTCCCCCTGGATTGGAGCGGAGTGGGGGGGGCCCAGAGAGGTGTCCCTATGGACCACTTCAGGTACTGGAGGCCCCAAAGTGAATGTAAACTTGGACCGGGGTGAGTTGTTTGGGAGGGTTAGCGCAGAGCTGGGGACGACTGGGATTCAGCCGAGGGATCCGGCTGTGTCCGCGGAGGAGCGGGTGCTGGACACGCCAGCAGAGCGCGGCCACCTCGGGAGACCGTCCCACCAGCCCTGTTCCGGGCCGTGGATAACCTTAGCGTTCATAGGGCTCCACTGTAGCCAGCCAGTCGGTCACGGAGACTCCGCGGCTGCCGTTGATAGGGCTCAAGTGGCTTGCTGTCCGCCTGAGACCAGCCACGGCCTAGCTTTTACCCCGCATCTGGCCTGCCTTCTGCAGCCAGGCTCCCCACTAGTGGGCCCCTCAGGTCCCTTGCTGCTCCACCTCTCACCTTTGCCCCTACTACGCTCCCTGCCTGGAGGCTAGCCGCCCCCCTCCCGTCCTCATGCCCCACTCTGCGAGCGGTAAATCAGCGTAAATCAGCGTCCAGCACTTGTGAGGGGTGCTTTTATGAAAACTTAGTTCAGCCTCGTGGTTGAATGGAATACTCCTTTTCTAAGCTCCCACTACCTGTTGAGTTCCATAATGATTGATTGATTGATTTTTAAGATTTTATTTATTCATGAGAGACAGAGAAGCAGAGACACAGGCAGAGGGAGAAGCAGGCTCCCTACGGGGAGCCCGATGGAGGACTCGATCCCAGGACCCCAGGGTCACGCCCTGAGCCAAAGGCAGACGCTCAACCACTAAGCCACCCGGGCGCCCTATTTATTTATTTATTTATTTCTCTTTGACTTATTTATATTGTCTACAACCAGACTGTAAACTCCTTGAAGGGCAGGATCAGTGATCTACACATATTTGAAATCTTAGAACCTGGTTCATAAAAGGTAAAAATGGGATGCTTTTTAAAGACCTGCAGGAGGACAGCGCTTGCTTCACAGGAATAAATAATATTATTCCAAGCATCAGACACC